ATCCATTTTTGAAATAGAACCTCAATTATTTTGCAAAATCCTGTCAAAGCACGCCTAAAAAATCACAAAAATAAAACAAAAAAAAATAAAAATTTAGTCAAAAATAAGACCCAAAATTTGGTAAAAATAGCATTATTTTTTCCTTTTTAAATTTCGTAAGCAAATTTTTAACTAAAATCTGAAGTTTTTTGTGAGATTTCACTAAAACAAACCAAAAAATCACCAATTTTTGTAATATTTTGTAATATTTTTGTATTTTTTGAGCGCTTTAAACAACAAAACTAGACCCAAAATAGTTTTTGAGCTGAACTGGGTTTTTAACGGCTCAAAAATATAAGAATATAATATTATATTTATACATAACTCTTATGCTTTAACCACTCTGTTTGTGTAAAAAAATACTGTATTTTTTTGTTAAGTTGGCAACACTGAATAAGTGGTGCCAAGTGACGGGTATATCCGCGGCCGCCCGTCGCAAATGAATGACAATTGACTATAAAATTGTGACGTTTGAATTTAATATTCATTGTTGCCAACTTAATATATAATAAAAACACGTTTTTCAGTCAAAAATCATAAAATAAAGTTGAAAATGTTGTTATTTTTGAATTTTTTTAATGCTTCAGCACGCTTTTAAGAAAAAAAATAAATAAATTTTGTCGAAAAAATTCACGTAAACTGTTCGAAAAATGACCAAATTAGATCTAAAATTATATTATTTTAGATCGTTTTGTTCGTTTTTACACCAGAGACTCATTTATTTTGCAAAATCCAGTCAAAACACGCCTATAAATCTCAAAAATTAATCGAATAAATGTTATTTTCTTTGTTCAAGTCGATTTAACGAGTGTTGAACGAAATTTAGTCAAAAATAAGACAAAAAAAAACACAAAATTTAGTCAAAATTGTGTTATTTTTTTTCTTTTTCAAACTTGCAAGTTTTGAATTAAAAAAAAAAGTTTTTTGCGAGATTTCACTAAAACAAATCAAAAAATCCCCAATTCTATAATAACTTTGCCATTTTTTCAGCGTTTGAAAATGTTTTTTCACTAAACAATTTTATAAATTTGCTTAAATTGGCAACACTGAATAATGTGGATATCAAGTCGTGCCAAATGACAGGTATATCTAAACGAATGACAATCGACTATAAAATTGTGACGTTTTAACAGGCAAAAATCAAAAAATTAAGTTGAAAATGGTGTTATTTTTGCATTTTCTTTTAATGTTTCAGCACGGTTTTAAGAAAAAAAACTGAATTTTTTCGAAAAAATTCACGAAAACTGTTCGAAAAATTACCAAATTAGATCTAAAATTATATTATTTTAGCTCGTTTTGTTCGTTTTTACACCAGAGACTGAATTATTTTGCAAAATCCAGTCAAAACACGCCTAAAAATCACAAAAATAATTCGAATGGATGTTATTTTCTTAGTTCAAGTCGATTCAACAAGTTTTTGAACAAAATTTAGTCAAAAATAAAGCAGAAGAAAAACAAAATGTGGTC